ACGCTTATAGAGAGGTAGCGTTGGAATTTTCGAAGCAGCCATAATTCTCTCCTCTGACCTTTCTCGTATTTTTGTTATGGTGGATTTTCACGATACTTAGGAGTTGTCCCGATGTTTAGCACATAATTTAGTTTATGATAATATTAGTTTATGCTGGTCTTATGGCTGTATAGCGCTATAAATGCTCATAAAACAATGTGGATATACACATGTATCATTCCGGCAGACAATGAATATACTGATGAATGCATGGAATATCATGTGACCTGGCCATAACATTACAGCTCTGGTTAAAATAAAGCAACAATTATATTGCACGACGCTGACCGTGATAAGTAATGGTCGGTCAAACGCAACCTCAAGCAAGTCAGCATAATGAATTCATCTGATTTTTTTTGTAACAAAAGAACCTGTCTTACATTTATAATTTAAAGCGACACAGTGCGACGACCGACCGTTGTGCTTTAAATAGCATAAGCAACTATAATTAGATAATAGCTAAACAATACTTAACATAAATCAAACAACATCCAACAACAACAACAATCGAACATTACATCCGAGAGAATTCCTGATGATTCAGGTTCCAGTGGTAGTTTATGCAAATATCAACATTAACAATCAATGTACAGTGAATTTGTGACACGGCACAGTTTTCTTTTTTAGGAGTGCCTAAGCCGGCTTTGTTAGTTATCCTGGCAAGCGATTTTAAAAAAATCGAATTCATCTCAACGAGTATTATGCTAAAATATGATTCTACAGTTTTAAATACGACCTCATGCATAAATTCCAGGCAAGTGCCAAGTGTAGAAATTTACCTGCAGGATGGTATTCATTGAAATGTTATTCATTTATCAAAAACCCAACGCAATCAATTCTATATTCGAACTAGCGTTTGATGCAGGGACGGGTGTAATTCCGTCGTCCGTTCTTGCTGTTTTAACATTTCCAGAAATAACACTACCACAAGTATAATAAATTCACTCAAACCTTATAGTTGCAGTCATAACCGTACATGAAAAGCGCACGGTAGCGCTGTAGCGGGGCTGTAGCGATTTCAAATGAATTGCGCCCTCCGGTGACTACATGGTCATATATAGTTATTTTTAAAATAACTAATGCAGCGAAACTAAACTAACACACTGTATGGTTGTGTGTGCTTGTTGACTTGTATCTAGGGAAATACCATACGTCTAAATCTGTTTTGCTAAAGCAGTTAACATCTATCTGTGAGTCATTCAAATACATAATATATACATGCACATTATTTATCACGGTTATTTTCTCTAATGCACGTGAAAGAACGTAAAATTGGGTATCCCCATCCCGGGAGGGGGGATACATAGAACTTGACTAATGGGGACGTGCCCCTGAAAAGGGTCTCAGTTGTTGGATTTTAGGTATACGTATCGGTCTTATTTCTGGTCAAAATAGGTATAAATAACCTGAACATTGTGTTAATAATATGCTCTTATGTAAGTGACAGAGGTGTTTCTATGGTCAAAATACATATTTTAATGAATCAATATACAATGCAACTGTTGGAGATGCTCTTCTAATAGAGCAAATACGGTAACTGTTTTATTTGGAATAAACAGTGATGACAGAAATGGTACTTTGGTATAAATATGGGTTTAGATATTGACACTATCCAGGTATAAAAATGGTCACACTTTTGAGCACTCAGGGGCACCTCCCTACCCAGCTATGTATCAACTGCCCCTCCCCCGAGATCCCCATGTGACAGTATATTGGACAATTACATTACTGAAATTTGTTGTGTGCTAAGATATAATTCGACGCGTACACTTTGGCGGTTTTCCTCTCAGGTTGTCTGTAAATTGTAACACAATGCACGTGTTATACAGAAAGCTATTACCGGGTAGAAAATATCTAGAAATGTATACCTGAGAACGAGAAATCGAATAAATAATCTACACCAGTTAAGGTAGAGATGCAGTTTACCTGACAGGTATTTTAATTAGTTAATTAGAAAAGCAAGATGACCTCCCTTGTCCACAAAACTATATATTTTCGGAAAGCTTATTGTATGATTTTTTATGGACACTGTAGTTTGAAATATGCACAAAAATGTGCTTTTTTTGGTCAAAAGTGATTTAAGAAAATAGCTTCTAAACCACGCTTCTGTTTCCTGTCAAAATTGGTTCACGGGTTTGCCGTCTTGAAAACTGTCTACCAGTTGTCAATTTGACCTCTAAAAAAAAGCTCCACAAATGTAGGAGAATGCAATTTACAGTTTTTTTATATCACTTTTCATTCTCTAGATATTCAACTTTTCATCAGTATTATGGAATCAGCCATCTTGATTCTCAAGCAAAGGATTATGGGTAAAGTATGACATCATAGAATCTGTTGTCATAAATTGAGAAAATGATTTCATCTATAACGTCAAAAGTAGAACTTCAAATTGGCTGAAAGTTTAGAAATTGGTAGCATACATGTACTGGTGCCATCCATGCTTATAAAATAGTTTTCATGGAAACAGAACTGAAAATATTGTATACAATTTACCAATGTGAGCAGGTTATATAGGTGATATATTACATGTTGGCCACAAAAAGGGGACAAAAAAGTGTGATTCTATATTTCACGACTGAAATATCGATTTTAAATTTTTTAACGTTTTTAGCAATAAATTCACTTTATGTGTATTTGTAATATTTCAATTTCCATTACTATAATTATATACATGAGTAATAAGCACAACAAAAATTTGAACAAATTCACATCAGTATTTCTCATGTTATAGATGAAATAATAAAGTTGAATATCTAGAGAATGAAAAGTGATATAAAACAACTGTAAATTGCATTCTCCTCATTTGGGAGCTTTTTCTTTAGGGGTCATTATGTTGTTTGGATTGAGGTTCCCTTTAACAATAATGGAAATAGGAAAGTATTACGCAAAAGGGAAAATCAACTACAAGCCAAATACACACAACGCCATATTAATAATGTACAGAACAGTTTACACACATAAAAAATCGATGAAATTACTAGGTTGTACACATTGCCATTGTCAGAGAATAATCAGATTGTCATGTGTCGTATCCAATGTTGCATACTCAAAACAATCAACATGAAACAAATCAGAGATGAGGGCAAATGCGTGGCATGGAAATAAATTAGCCACGTGCTAAGAAATGAGGATAACTACCATTGCATAACAGCCCTGAAACAACAAAGAAGCAACTGGTCATGGGTCACAGGGCCGAATAGTAGAGATAACACGGAATACACACCTGTCCAAGTATTTCATTATTGGTTAGTTTCATGCGTTCCTCTTCATCTAATTCTCCTTCCTTCACATCTTTGTGAGCATTCAACATTAACTGTAGCAAGTCAATTCTCTATAATAATGGATATTTGTTGATGAATATTGTAATAACTGCTTCGTGATAATAGTTATCAATGGCGCTAAAGTGTTCTCGGGACTCGAAACCGGCAACAAGCAATATTAAATCATATCACTTAGTGGCTTAGTCGTGTATACCCGCATTTGAATTTTGTGTATGCAAACATACAAACATTATTTTTACGCAGCGAGGGAAAACTCCACAATGCGCAGACGGTAACGCGTTAATCTATACTTTCCGTGGCGACTGACATTCAGCCAATCATATATTAGCAACAAAAATACATACCGGATCATCTTGTGATTTTCTGAATTCAATCGTCTGATTGGTTTCCATGACAAAATAATTCATCAAATTATGAGGGATAACTTTCAAGTTGAAAAAGTCGAATAATGGTCGCAGAAACGGTAAGATAACTGGAACAAAAATACAACGTTTAATAAACAAGACAACAGCAGCACCTAGTCACCATACCACTTAAAACGTAATACTGACAATTAACGATATTTCAATTATTGTTGGTATATAGATTTGTAGTTTGTTTCACGTTGTTTATGGTTTGTTAACAACTTTGAAACATGGATATAGTGGACAATACAATTTGATGATACACATTAAATTCGTATACTTACTTCGAAGGGTCAACATCAAGTTCATGTTTAGTTGACTCAACATTTGTTTCAAGTTTACGATGAATTGATTGCTTTCCTCACTCTGAGAGTCGATTTCTACACCAAATGCAGCACTGAGTAAACAGTCATTAGAATAAGCACTAAATTTCCTTTGAAATAAATTAGAAAAACACGAATGATTTTCAATGTATTTACATTATATTCCACAAATACCAGTTACTCGAATTAAGTTATTTAAAAATAAATGGGACAATGTCATAACAAGGAAAGTTTGTTCCTTTTGTTGGTCATTCCCATCTTGTCATCTCAGAAAGCTTATCAAACCTACATTTCACTTGTAACAAGATGTGGAGTTAGATTGCTTGTTCGTCAGTACTTACTCCTTAAGGTCTATAGATCCATCACCATCATTGGCACAATTACTTAAATGTGTCATCATGTTGTCTGTGCATTGCCTTATTAACACGGACATCTATGACAAAATTAAAGTCTAGATAAAACACTAAAAACAGTATCACTTTTTAAGCATTTATTGAAAATATGTGATTTAATAAATATAACAATTATATTATTATTTCACATCCATCGTTAATAGCCATAATGAATTCTAATATAAATATTATTTAAATTGATTACCAGTTTCATCTTCGATGTACTGAATGCCGGTGTCAACAGTTTCCGAACGTATTTCCATTTATTGTTTCTGAGGGCACCCAAACCAGAACTCAGAGGCTCTTGACGAATTGTCGCAGCCTATACATGTGTGATATAACATTTTTGTCACAGATTTGTAGACGTAAATATATGACAGTGTAATTTTCTATACCGCCACCACGAAAGAGTAGATTAATTATTAAAAGCGTATTTGTCTGAACCATGTTTTTGAAATACTGCATGCATTGGTGGAGAATATAACAAATCGTAGCTTTAAAAATATGTTAAATGTTCTAACGAAACTTGATTAATATAAAATAATTACCCGTCTGTTTGGGAAACAGTTGAATTTCCCGACGAGTATATCCTTCAACATATCTAAGTCAGAAATAATAAGGTACGGTTCTCGTCCAAAATACACCCTACAAACAGAACAACAAATCACTAAAATGCACACGTAATAATGTCAGCTGATATGTACATGATATTCTCAGTGTATACTGGGCCTGAGCATTTATGAACGGCGATCGTACTATTTTGCGAATAGATGCATTAGTAAACGTAGGGCATTTGTAGATTGTCTCGGTCGATTTTAATTCAGACATCGCATCATGAAATCGATACTAATCTGAATAATGCCTAAAAATTAAAATCATGACACTGGGTGGGGGAGGGGTGAATGTTTTAGTTGCAACTACATGATCACTAATATTACGAAACACATGAATGTCATTATCTTACCCATACACATAACCATATTGATTTTTCCAATTTCTGATCACTTCATGCATTCCGTTGCCCTGAAATAAACATAAGCACACTGAATTGCATTCATCGAGACCAATTTATTTACAAATTCGTTATCGTTTTAAATGCTTTCGCGTATCAGCATGTAGCGTGCATGGCACGTGGCGCGGCTTGCACGTAATCTGTACTTAGCGTGCATTTAGCTCCACTTGCCTTGTTCAGAATGTAACTTTACAAGAAAACTTACATAC